ACAAGTCTTCATGAATCTTTTTCATGAAGAGATGTTTAATTACGTTACGTCAAGTTATAAATATTAATGGTTTAAAATTATTTTTAAAATTTTAAATTATAACTTCAATTTTTAGAAAAGTCAGAATATTATTTTTAGAAGTTTCGCTTTACGTAACAGTTAACTGGGAATAACTATTTTTTGACACTGTTAACCCTTGCCAGTGGTTAAATTCTACATATCTCATTGTAACATTTCAGAATATGAGTTAGTGATGTGCCTACAAAGCTGTAAAGATGTCGATAGGTTTATAAGAAACGGTAGGTTGTCTAAAATGGCCAGATGAAATAAGGGTTAACATAAGCGTTAACATTCATGTTGAAACCTGGGCATACGTTCAAAATTCAAGGAAACATTTGTATGTGTTGTACGGGCGTTCCATACATAAATCTCGTGAGGCGATTGAATGCAGACGCGTAAGCGTGCCCGTGCGCATAATTCAAAGGGGCGATCACCAGGAATCGCCGTTTGGCATGCAGACGGTCGAGTTCATTCCAAAGCAATAAACCCGTTAGTGGCGACGTAATATGCATATTGGAGAACACTAAACGTATCGTTCTCATATATAAAATCTGTTGAAGATATATTCGTATAAGTTATTATTTTATGGATGTTATTGTTATTTATTGAAAAAAATTACTAATATTTTCTTAATCCTACCAATTATTATTTTAACATATTATATCAATAATAAGGTATATTTTTATTATACTATTGTTTTTATCGATATCGATTGGACATCACCAGCCCTCAGGTGCCGTCTGTGGTTCCTTTAGAATCATCACGATGTCGGACCGCGTCGAACGGAGCCGGCTTTAATATTTATTTACACATGCAAATGCGCTTTGCAGCTCTACCGAAACAACCAAAGAGTATTACAATACCAAATGTGTACGAGGTTTTGAATTTTATATTATTTTTAAAATCAATTAGATTCAATTTTATGATTTTTTCGTGTATTATATTTATATTAATATACTAGAATAGGAATTATAAAATTTCTCATAGTCATTTATGTCGTTTGAAAGTTTTTGTAAATCCCAGTTTATTTCTGCTATTACTTAGGTCTTAGGATACATACTATTCGAGTCGACTTTTTTTCTCAAAACATTGCAATTTGCAGTAATAGTCGTTATTATGAGCACTTAATGACCGCACGAGGTTCTATGCGACGCGAGTTTCCGCTCATTTTTTATTTTCCTCATTTTCTCGTACAACTCTATGCAGTTGATACACAGTAATTGACGTATAATAATAAACATTAAAAGATATTGATGTCTTTATAAATATACGTTACGGCTTTGCAAATATGAAATAATTTGAAATGTGATATATACAGTTGTTGGTAAAAAAAACTTATAATATATAATAAAGTTCTAACTAAGTCGAATCTGTATATTAAATATACTTTGGAAAATCTTATTGAAATAGACATTACTATCGATACAGAAGCCGAATCTATAGTTTTTAGAATTTTTGTCTGTCTGTTACCGCATCACGGAATAACCACTGGAAGGATTTTGATGTTTGGTATGATGATAGATGGTTATCCAGGTCAGTATATAGGATACTTTTTACTCTTTTACTCTACTTTTTACCGCAGGAAAATATCTTATTTCTGAGAAAAAATACAAAAACTGCAATGTAAGAGTATACTAATATGTAAAACCTAAGAATTTGGTTTTTGGTCATCTGAACGTGGGCGAAGCCGCGGGCAATGCTAGTGAGTATATATGTAAGGATATTTTTCTTATTATTAAAACATTGAATAATTTTCACGGTATATTATATTTTGAGCTCTCGCATACAAGGTCAAAATCAGATATATTTTTGCATTTCAAAAATACATTTTAATGAAATCGAATTAATTATTGTTTTTTTTTTAGTTTTACGATGCTTTTACGATACAAAAAATGACTTGGAGGTTGGACGAACTTTTATGACTTCAATTAGTTGACTGAAAACTTATATCGCATTTAATGTGAAAAGTTCCAGTTTTGAATTTACTTTGTGCAATTTAAATAAAAACATAATTATACATATGCAATGGAAAATTGGAGCATATTTTAACATTTATTCCGAATGGCTTTATCGATATTGTATTAATAATGATTACAATAAACTTGGTTTTTTATGTTTCGGAGCCACAGTCTCTTTTTCTTATATTTAGAATATGAATATTTTTAGCAAATAAAAAATATAACCAAGATCTTGAGTTTATGTGGCTTGGCTTATTTATACGCCATTTTCAGATTATGTATTAACACCTCCAGGTAAATTTCTAAGAAATTAATTAAATTTCTGAGAAATCAATTGTAAACTGTAACCGCGCCGGCGTGTCCGCGGTCGTTGAGAGATTAAGATAGTATATTGAAGTTTATATTGCAAAGTTTGCAAAGTATAATACCGTTGTAGATTACCTACAAGTAATTTACTCAGAATGCGCATACCAAAGTGTTAATGGTTGATAATTTCGTTAATGTCCGCTCTATCCTTATTCACTATTAATTTACTTATTTACTTTTATAGATAAATTATTTTAAATATCTACAGTAATCGATGTCACATTTCTGTAATAGGGTTAATACACAGCGGCGTTTGTAGTATTGTCGGCTAGGAAACATATCTTGGTTAAGAATTTAGCTGGTTTTGCAAATTGTAAAGCGCTTGAAATTTAAATTTGATTAGATCGTGATTCGTGTGCACAGAGGGATACCTACTGGTGATCATTGTGCTACTAAGTAAATTAAGTAAACTAATTAATGACTGCTATAAAAATTTAGCCATAAAATATTTACATATCATTATTTTTATGATAATGATATAATAAAACTTGTATAAATTATATAAATATAACTTAGTTTTTGATCTATATATAAGATATTATTATCATTTTACTTTACTTATTTTTTTAACTTATTTTTTTACTTTGTAAACCTGTCTTGCCTTTTGTTTTATTGTAATACTACCAGTATATATAATACCAGAGGCTCACCGTCGCTTCTTTTGGGTTCGCCTCTACACGAAAACAACAAATCTATCTCACAGGTACCGTACATTTTTACGGGATAAAAAGTAGTATTATTCTGATGTATGAGCTATATTATTGTAAAGTCTCATTAAAATCTATTCAGTAGTTTTTGCGTGAAAGAGTAACAAACATCCATACATCTATACATCCAGTCAAGTTTTCGCATTTACAATATTAGTAGGAAGGATATATGTATATGTGAAATGATATGTATGTATATCTCTTAGTGTATATATTTGTATTCTACTTTTTATATGTGTATAATGGTATAACTATATTTAATATAAGGCCGCCTCTTGTACATTATGTATCTTTTCGGCATTTATTTATTTTTATTTTTTCTTGGTGTACAATAAAGCGTTTATTATTATTATGTATAAGGTATTAAAAAGAGGTTTTGGATTAAAAAAATGTGTTTGAGAAATTAAATATTAAATTGATTACATATACATACACAGACTTGATATGAAACTCCTTTAAGTAGAGCTTTATTTAAATTCTTTAAAAATGAAGTATTTTTACTCTCATTTTTAAGCAAAAGTAAAAATGGTATAGTAAAGTGGTCAAGAAAAGAATCAACTGCGTATATACAAATATAATTGTGTATATAGGTAAATATTTAATTGGAATAATATTATCATATATGAATTATGAAATCTACCTGATTGACCTGATTGGCATTATGTTCATGTGTTGATTATAATATTCATAAATTGACATACGTGATTATCATCTCATCAAATATTTAACGACTGCACTTTCATTAAAAATATATTCAAAACTTTTTTTACACAATTAGTATAAAGGTAATTTATCTTTAAATCAATTTAGTAAGAGTAAGCTGTTTTTAGCAGTCAGTGAGATGTATAATAAATACCTTCATAGATTTTTAATTTTTATCATAAAATGATATATAATATGTACTTTATAATACTTTTTATTTTTATTAAAACTTAATTCTTTAGAATAATAATAATAATTATGTCATAATAAGTTTAAAATATTATAAGTTAAAGTACAATAGGTTCTTGTGCATAATTAATATTAATACAAAATATAAGCAATACACAAAGTAAAATAATTTCTAGAAATGTTGTTAGTATGCAAATAAAAAAAACTCGTTTTACTAAATATATGTCTTTTGACAAAATTATACTTTTTACACGTTACTATGTTTTTAAAATAGATAAAATACGGGGATAAATAATGTACAAGACTATCTTATATTATATAGTATATAGATATTTATTAGTTCTTGCTAATATTATTTGTCAGAGTTAGGAATGGACGAGTTTTATGTTAATCGCAAATCTACACACAGGTTGTTGACTGCGCATAGTAACGTTCGCGTATTCACCACGCTGCTATCTTCCGGTCGCTATCAAAACAAAATGAGTATAGCCGTCAATGACTTTTTTTAATTTTTTAGGTTTCAATGCCAATGTAGGCTCTATCACGCGTATATATTTAAAAACATATAATAAAATATATATATTACGTGGTGTACGCGACATCACTTTAAAAACAATACGGGTGTTAATTATATACTTCGTTTTACGACTCTAAACCGGCGAAAATTGTTTGTTCAAAAAGTTAGTGAAATAAATCGCAATCCAAACAATTGGCGAGCGACATTTTTCGACGTTGAGCTGCCAAGTTTTTAGTGACAATTTAAATCAGGTAAATTAGTTCGATTCATAAAGTTCTTTCAGAAAAATAAGTTTGACTCACCGAAACTACAGCAAAATATGTACACTACGCTTATCAATACCGACTAACCATTCGAAACGGGAGCCGTTCTACCGGTCGAGCTACTCCCGAAATTATCACATTGCAACTGATTAACTTAAATAAAATAAACACTCAAAAGTCGAATACCGAGAAAGCGTGGTAATATAAAAAAATATATATTTAAATAGAAAATATGTCATATCTCACCTGCTGCCGGGCGCACGAGCACGAGCGGCAGCACGAGCAGCGGCAGCAGCGGCAGCCGCATGCTCCCGCTAGCGTCGCATGCCGGCGCGTGCGGCGCTCTGTGCTCCTCGCCCGCCGCCGCGGTACTGCGCGCCGCGCGCCGAGCGCGCCCCGAGCGCCACCGCGTGTGCCGGCGCGGCACGTGCGCGCACACCCGCGCGCCACGCGTGCCGCCTACCATGCCATCGGTGTGGCCCTAGCGGAGAGTCGCCGCCGACTGACTGCTGACTGACGACTGGACGCACCGACGAGTCGACGACCGCGCGTGCTGCACCCGCCACTCCACCCGCCACTCCACGGCATACGACTAAGTTGTGTGTACTTTGTTGAGTACAACTTTGTTTTTTCCAATCAATTTGATAGTCAAACCGTACGACTCTACAGACATTCTTGTGTATTAAGAAATTAATTACTATATTATAGTGTTCATTTTTTTTTTAAATGAAATAGATAGGAAATAATTTAATCTCATGATTAACGTCAAATTAATCTCTATGAGCAATCTTTAAATCAAAAGGCTGGATCAATGAACTTAACGTTAGTTAAGCGTTGAAGTCTTTTCAAGGGCGCTTATTAGAAGGCACAGACTAAAAATCGCGTAACCGCTTGTGTAAAAAATAGTTGGTAACAGTTTATTTTTATATTAGGCTAAGCCTGTGTATGATTTAATAAAAGTACCAGTCTCGTAAGTAAACAAGTTACGTTTTTCTTATTAGTATAATATATAATATAAAAATCAGTGACAAATTAATTTAACTTGTTAAAGTACAGGAAGTATGCGATTTTTTTATTTTTAAAAGTATAAAAAAGCTTTTCATAATAAAAAAAATTATACGCAGTATTGACAACGTAAAGATCAGTAAGAAGAACCTAATATGTATGTATGTTCATGCATACAGCATATACGAACAAATATCTATAACTGATTCAATAAAATCACATACATTTTCAATAAAACCTTTCGACATGCCAGAGATACAGACTAGTGATGTAAAAAAGTATAATTTCTATAGATTAAAAAATAATCTGTCAGATTTTGTTGTCAGCTTTGCGACTAATGATTTTAAGAACGCACAGTGGCCAGCACAAGCAATTATTGCCGGTAATGGCTGGAAGAATCCGCCTTGATTATAGGTTTCAGTTGGTTCCTACACGGAGCCCCGTGCCTCATCGGCGACGCGACGCCAAAAAAAACACTGTATTTACTTATAAGTAGCGAGATTTCATTTACCTACTTCATTACTTGGAAATGTTATAATATAAAATAAGCTTTTAATGGAAAATGATTTTATAATTTAAGTTTTACTTCAATATCGAGATATGGGGAGAAAAGTTATAAGGAGAAATACAAGTTTTGATATTGTATTCATTCTGATATCAATATTATGCCGAAATCATTTTTATTTTACTATCAATAATAAAATATTGTCTATCTCCCATGACATATAATTCTTCATTTTCTCTATATTGATATTGCCAAATGATATCATATCCCTGTAAAAGATATACTTGTTGACAAACACTAAATACATACATAAGCCCTATCAAGTTCTAGTTGCAGAATTTCACATGTTGAATATGATTTTTTTAAATGCTTTTACTTAATTTTATGGAAAATTATGGGAATATAAAAAAAAAACTCAAACTTAATATAAACATGTCGATAATTCAATCAGTAAATAAATAAAAATAATACCACACTTAGTCTTTACTCAAGAGATTATTTATAATTTATATAAAAGAATAATGTGAAAAGTTTCAAAGGTTGCTTTCAGGGTATTTTTTCCGAAGAATTATCTAATATTACATTTCTTTATACTATCACATACCGCAAAAATATTTAAAGTAAACGTAGGTCTTATTTAAGATTTCATATCCTTTCTGTTGCGAAAAAGAAAGATAGGGCAGGATGACTTTTCTTTACAAATTTTTGCTAATATACTCAAGGGCTAAGGTATATATCACCTAACCTAAACTTTAGTGTTAAAGATATACACGTATACCATTTGGGTATCGAACACGATATAAAACTATTATTATTATTTCTAGTCAGACCACCTTCCTTACAAATTTACTAGCGGACCCGACAGACGTTGTCCTGTCTACACGTCTTTAATTTGAAAATTTCAAACTTTTTTTAATAATTTATTGATTAAAATTATTATTCAAATGGTGAATCTAAACCATTCCCAGATCCCCTTGAACACACACAAAAAATTTCATCAAAATCGGTCCAGTCGTTTGAGAGAAGTTCAGTGACATACACACTCACAGAAGAATTATATATATTAAGATTAGTTTGAATCTATCTTAAAGCTTTAAAGGTATAAAATACCTGGCAATTCATCTGGAAATCTATTTACTACTAATTAAAATTGTGTACGTTCTCCTTCTATAATTGCATTCATATTAATGAGATATGAACAATAAAGATATTTTAATGGAGCCTTGTTGTTCAACTATTTTAATAAATTACTTAAAAGATATAACCACAGATGCTTAAATTGTTAAAAATTATTTGAATTGGCATTTGATTTTTATGCAAGTAAATTATTTATTAGCGAAAAAAATATAAGTGTTATTTTTTGAAAATAGTAGCGGAGGTCAATATTGTTGTAACCGATACCTTACTTTTTTGAGAGCTTTTAGTTTTCTTTAGTATTGGTTCCGATTTTTTCTTTTTTCCAGTATAAATATCTGTCATTAATTGGTATAGAAATTAAATAAAGCCTTTTTAGCTTAAATAGCATTTTGCAAGCGTCGATTGACATCTCTGTTAGTTATTTTATCAATGCCTTGAAGCAATATGCAAGAATCGGTACTAGGTGAATTGATTTACTTTTTAAACCCCTATAAGCATTGTAGTAGTTAAAATAATATTTTTTTTAATTAAAGGAAATCGTGTATGAGTTCATATATTATGTTATGTTATTTACTTTAGAGCGTAACCATAAACAATATGATAAAAATTTTATAATTGTTAGACTTTCTAGAAATGATCAGAATATTGGAATATTTGTTATTATATATAAATTTTGCTTAAAAGTTTAAATGTTGCTAAAATTATAAAGATCTATAAGAATGGTCTTTAAGTTGTCATATTATGCTTTTACCATTTATTAGTTAGGTATATTTAAAAAAAGTATATTCACATAAACATTTTCAAGCAGTGCATCATCCATTTTAAACATGTAATAAAAGAAATATCCGGAAACTTGTCATGAAATGTAAGAATTCATCCTACGCACTCTTGGCTTGATGATAATTTGTAAACAACAATATAATTTCAGTTCAGTAAAAAAATTCCGTTCAGTAAAAAATTGTAATAATTTAATGCTGGATAAAATATTATGAATTTTGGAATTTTTTTTGAATTTGACATTGTAATATATGTATGTCGATCCACTAAATTCTATAGAGTATAGATATTGAGTATACTTAGTTAAATAGTAAAAAAATCACGATTATTGTAAACTATTCAAGTTTCTGTATAAATAAACATCGATTAGACGTTTAGACTTTAGTTTAACGAGGTAGTGATGTCATTTCCACAACTATTATACAAACTTTTGGCCGGATTTCCGAAACAAATAAAATTTCCGGCGGCACGTGACACTTTGCAATAAAACTCTTAAGCACAGCTATACCATAACAAACATTTAATAAACATATAAAAACTTTAGATTCGGTAATTTCAAATATGAATGGACTTCATAAATAAAGTATATAAGTACAGTAACACGTCATAATGTATCTACCTATACTTAAAACATTAGTGGCCTTAAATCTATATGAACCATCTTTCAATGAAATTCTAATCCAGTGACGTAACGTTTCGTGGAAGCTCTGTCAAACTGTAAATGATTATTGATCTAGAAGTATTTGTCGAATGGTATTCCCCGAATTCGTCCATATTGTTATAATAATATTTTCCTAGCTTATGCCGGTGGAGGTTAGATGTATCAAATCTCAAAAGATTTGATAGTTAGAAAGTATATTTAATGTGATCAGATATTCCTGGAAAATTCATCATCTCTTTTAACAACGTCTCTTTTATATTTTATTTTCTATTCTCTGAGGATTTTATATTTTTTGTTTATATAAAATTGTATATATACTGAGGAAGGTTAAAAGCAATCTAATATCACGCTTAGACCTTTGGAGCGGAGATATTCTACATATTATACAGACTAAATACCCTGATCATTTCCGCGGGAAAAACTAGTTTATTTATTAATTCAGCACCTTTTCAAAATTATGGTTTTGAATAAATCCGTCAGTTTGTTTGATTATGCGTTACTCGAGGATAGCTAGACGGATTTTAACGGAATTATTTAATATTACAGTAAGTGAATTAAAAAATAGGTAAATTTAATTTCAATCGCTGATTTCAACATTGAAAGTTATAAATTAAGCTCCTTGTTCTACTCGCTCCCACGTAAAGCGTGACTCACTTACAGTAGCTGGAGACTAAATAGAAATGCATACACAGGAGGAGCCACAGACAAACGCTAGTATGTAATACAAATATTGATATCATCTTAAGGATTAAAAAAGAGCACAGCTCAATAATAATACAAGTGTTAAGTTCGAGGGGCATATTTGAACTGTATCAGTGTATAGTAAACTCAAGTTATTGTTGCGATTTTGAAAAAAGTACATAAAGCTTTTCTAATAATGAAAAGAAAATAGGAAAACGGAATGGTGAGACGATCAATTTTTTCTCAACAGATTAATTCCGAATACATATATACCTACATACTATATTGTATTTTTTAAGGCTAATTTCATAATATTAAAGTGTCAGTCAGCGCAGAAAAATTTGATGAAATTAAAGTATTCGAAAATTTGACATTTAAATGTGCAGACAGATTTTTTACATATAGATTTCTTAAAGGATAGACGTTCAAATTGGATTTAAATAAAGCAAAATGTCGATGAGCGTATCATTTGTTATTGTCAAATTAAATTGGCGCAAAAAACACGAGATCGTGATCGTGGCGTCCTCATTCACGTAAATGTCATTTTTTATCTAAACTTAAATAATACAACAAAAGCTCAGACACCACGGAATTCACATGGGATTGCATCAACGCAGTATGTCCATGAATGTCTCAATTTATCACATGGTATCAAAAATGGACATTAATCACTTGTTAAATCACATATTATAAAAAAAGC